GACATCCTGTGTGGTTTTTGTGAGTGTGGGTCTGGTATCATTTTTTGTGTTAGGGAGTCGTTTGTCAATAAGGGCGGGTTTTCAAATGGCTGGTAGGCGGGAGGTATCATTTTGCTTGTTCATGCTGTGTGGGCGTTTTTCTATCTCGATGGCTTCTCTGATTATTCTGTTATTGAAATGTTCACTTTTGGCAATGGTTCTGGTATTTTTAAAGTCAATTTCATGTCCTGTTGGCTTAAGTTGTGGACCAGGGAAGATGTTGGTTTCCTCTTTTTTGACTGAGTTTCGTTATGTTCTTCACTGCGTGCACTATCTTCTTTTGGTTTGTTCCATGTATGTGTGGGCCAAGTGGTGCCTGGGATTTTCGTTACTCCTTGATTTTCAATTCAATTTTATCTTTGTGGTTTCTAAGGATGGTGGATATTTTTCTGTTTGTGCAGAATGCTGTTTTGATGTTGTGTTTATGGAGGATCTTACTGATTCTGTCTGTGGTTCCTTTTATGTATGGGAGGAGGGCTTTGCCGTTTTCTTGTTCTTCGTCTTGGATTTTAGTGGGGGTTTCTTTTTGGATTAGGTTTGTAATCTTATTTCTATGGAATCCATTGTATGTTAGTACATTGGTGAGAGTGTGTAGTTCTGGTTTTAGGTGTTGTTCGTCAGCTAAGCGTTTTGTTCTGGAGATGAGTGTCTTGGCTACAGAGTTGATCTGTGTTGGGTGGTGGTGTGAGAGAGCGTGCAGATCGCGGTTTGTGTGTGTTTTCTTCTGGTAGATGGTGTGTCCTAGGGAGCCATTGGATTTCTTGTAGACTAAGACATCCAGGAAGGGAAGTTGGTTGTTAGCTTCTGTTTCCATGGTGAACTGTATTTGGGGGTGTAGGCTGTTGAGGTGTGTGAGGAAGTTGTCCAGTTTTTCTTTCCAATGTGGCCAGATTATGAAGGTGTCGTCTACGTATCTGAGCCAGAGTTTGGGTTTGTGATCCGATTTTTCTAGAGCTTGGGTTTCAAAGTGTTCCATGTAGAGGTTTGCAATGACAGGTGAGAGGGTGATCCCATGGGTGCTCCTTCTGTTTGTTTGTATTTTTGTCCATTATAGATGAAGTATGTGTTGGATAGGCAGTGGTTGATTAGATCTAAGATGTGTTTGGGGGGGTTATATTTGTTTTGGATATCACAACCACCCGGACCAACCCGCACCCCCCCCCAAGAATTGGAGGCCAATCAGAGCACAGCCACCCCCCAGCCAATCAGAGCACAGCCAAGCCCCTAACCATTCAGAACACACCTCCACCCAATCCGAACACAGCCAAGCTCCCACCCAATCAGTTCATACCCCCACTGGCAGTTAAAAAGAAGAAACAGCTAAGACCACACATTGCTCCTCGAAGCACGAAGCTGAAAGCACCAGCCTGAAGATGACGAATGGGACTTCGTCGAAACTTCGCCAAGACACTTCCAATTTTTTACGCGGGAGAAAACCCGAACAACCAAAGACCTATATACAAATACCCGCGAAAACCTCAGAAATCAAATATCGAACCTCTACGGGGAGGAAATCCACCATCTGACCAGGACCTATGAAAAACTTGAAGTCCAAAGAGCTTCCATTTTATGTGACCTCGCATTCCTACGTAACTGCCGAGATCAAAATCTAATCCCCACATGTTTCCAACTGAAATTCCACTCCAACTCTGCAGCCCCCAAACGGATCCTGAAACGAACAGAATTGGCCCTAATCAGAAATGAACTTCACACAAAAAGATTCCTCCTAGACCGAATTAACAAAGATCTCCTCACACTCCACCTCCAACTCAGCAACAAGATCCACCCCGCACTTTGGGACAAATCCAAACAACTCGCCGTCTGGAGAGCCGAAACACAGACCACCCTCAAGACAGATACACACACCCACAAACTCCGAAGACTACAAGAACGCCAGAAACAACCCCCTCCTCCCTCACAGCCACACATGAAACAAACAGTGCATAACATCTCAGATAGGATCCTCACCAAAGCCGAAACCAATGTCCTGTCCAAAGGATTCAACTTTGCAGTCGCTCCCAAACACATCCCCACTGAAACCATTATATGTGGAGTTGAAACCAGCCTGACCAAAATCAACCCCGACGACGCTAACAGAATCAGACTTGAAATCACCAACATCCTCTGAACCAGCAAGCCACCCAAAAGCAACTTACCCAAAGAGGAACAGACAGCACTACTAGCCTGAAAGAAGACACCAGCATAATAATCCTACCACAGACAAGGGCACCCAACGGTGGGTTATGACACATACTGACTACCAACGCAAATTAACCAACCTACTCCAAGACTCCACATACAAACCCCTAAATACAGATCCCACCACTTACCTGGAAAAAACCACCAGATCCAAAATAAAAGCCTCCCCCATTAGCGAAGAGATCCAGCAAAGAATCATTCCCAGAGAGAAATCATCCAGATGCCCCAACTCTATGGTCTCCCCAAGATACACAAAGAAGGAACCCCACTCAGACCTATAGTCAGCTCCATAAGCTCACCTCTACAAAACCTAGCCAAATTTCTCGCCAAACAATTACAGCCCTATGCAGAATCCATCACCTCACACGTAAAAAACTCATTCCAGTTTATAGAGATCATAAAGAAACAACACTTACAGCCCAGCGACCTACTAGTGAGCTTCGATGTCATATCCCTCTTCACCCAAGTGCCTATCAAAGAAGCCTTGACAGCTATCAAAAACAAATATAACCCCCCCCAAACACATCTTAGATCTGACCAACCACTGCCTATCCAACACATACTTCATCTATAATGGACAAAAATACAAACAAACAGAAGGAGCACCCATGGGATCACCCCTCTCACCTGTCATTGCCAACCTCTACATGGACCACTTTGAAACCCACGCTCTAGAAACATCGATCACAAACCAAACTCTGCTCAGATACGTAGATGACACCTTCATAATCTGGCCACATGGAAAGAAAAACTGGACAACTTCCTCACACACCTCAACAGCCTACACCCCAAAATACAGTTCACCATGGAAACAGAAGCTAACAACCAACTTCCCTTCCTGGATGTCTTAGTCTACAAGAAATCCAATGCTCCCTAGGACACACCATCTACCAGAAGAAAACACACACAAACCGCTATCTGCACGCTCTCTCACACCACCACCCAGCACAGATCAACTCTGTAGCCAATACACTCATCTCCAGAACAAAACGCTTAGCTGACGAACAACACCTAAAACCCGAACTACACACTCTCACCAATGTACTAACATCCAATGGATTCCATAGAAATAAGATTACAAACCTAATCCAAAACGAAACCCCCACTAAAATCCAAGACAAAGAACAAGAAAACGGCAAAGCCATCCTCCCATACATAAAAGGCATCACAGACAGAATCAGTAAGATCCTCCATAAACACAACATCAAAACAGCATTCTGCACAAACAGAAAAATATCCACCATCCTTAGAAACCCCAAAGATAAACTTGAATTAGAAAATCAAGAGTAATACAAATCCCCTGCACCACTTGGCCCACCCATACTCGGACAAACACAGAAGAATAAGTGCCACGCATTGAAGCACATAGAACTCAGTCAAAAAAGAGGAACCAACATCTTCCCTGGTCCAACACCTTAAAGCCACAGGACATGAAATTGACTTTAAAAATACCATAACCATTGCCAAAAGTGAACATTTTAATAACAGAATAATCAGAGAAGCCATCGAGATAGAAAAACGCCCACACAGCATGAACAAGCGAGATGATACCTCCCGCCTACCAGCCATTTGGAAACCCGCCCTTATTGACAAACGACTCCCTAACACAAAAAATGATACCAGACCCACACTCACAAAAACCACACAGGATGTCACCACCACACATCCACGCAAAACGCAAACCCACAGCCACACCGATGATGAGGCACGACCACAAACCAGAAGCCAGACCAGAGCTGCATCATTAGCCACTTCAAAGCCCTCCAATCCATACACGAAGCAAACTGACACCCTCCCTGAAAATGAGGCACGACCACAAACGCGAAGCCAAAAAATAGCAAGGCAGCCCAAAATCTTAAACCCCTCTGCAACTCAGACTAACCTGAGCACAACCAAACAGAACACTCCCCCAGCCAATCAGAGCACAACCAACCCCCCAGCCAATCAGAGCACAGCCAACCCCCCAGCCAATCAGAGCACAGCCATGCCCCTAACCAATCAGAACACACCTCCACCCAATCAGAACACAGCAAGCTCCCACCCAATCAGTTCATACCCCCACTGGCAGTTAAAAGGAAGAAACAGCTAAGACCACACATTGCTGCTCGAAGCACGAAGCTGAAAACACCAGCCTGAAGATGACGAATGTGACTTCGTCGAAACGTCGCCAAGACACTTCCAATTTTACGCGGGAGAAAACCCGAACAACCAAAGACCTACATATATATATATATATATACACATTGCTTACTGGTGTACACCTCTTAGAGAGTGCTTGCACTTAAAGCGGTATATAAGTCTCATAAATAAATAAATAAATAAATAAATAAATAATCTGTCCTTCTGGCCCCAAAAGGCCAGAGCTGGTTTCCAACTCCTTCCGTGCTGGGATTCTCTGCCCAGGAAAGTTCTGCATTCGGGAGGGGAAGGTCTCCCATCTGCTTCCTTCCCTGGGATCTTCAGCCGGAACCAGGACACCTTGTTGTGTAATCCCACCTTTTTTAAACTGTGATTTAAATTTTAGCCTTATCTTTATTCAAGGGTTTCGTTCTATCCTACACCCCCCCAGAGCCCCTCTTTGGGGGAGGGAGGGGGCGATTTAGAAGGATCCATCAATAGGGACAGATAGAAATGAATAAATTTCCTGCATCTGAGAGGAGAGAATGTATACAAGGAGGGAATCTTTCTCCGGAAGAAACCTAATAAATGAAAGGAAGGGGGGGTCCCGGGATACCCTCCCGAACACCCCCTCCCCCACTCACCTCTCCGGCCCACCATCTGACCGGTCTTGGCTGCCTCGTAGTTGTTCCTGCAGAAGCGATCCACTTCGGCCCTCTTGATCTGCATGAAGACCTTATCGCTGTTCCACTTGTCCACATCGGGCTGCCCCAACGGAGTGACGGCCACGTATTTCCCGAGGTCGCTGTCGTAGTAGTCCATCTCCTGCCGGTCGTGGATGTACCAGTCCAGGAGTCGCACCCGCTGCGTCCCATTGAAGAAATGGCACTCAAGCTTCCACTGGACCAGGAAATGGGCTGCAGGGAGGAGGAGGAAGAGGAGGGCCATCAGCAGGGACTCCAGGGCCCATCGTCCCCAGCTGCTAGCAAAGGAGGGACCCATACGCGAAATGGGAGGAGAGGGAGGCCTTCCGCGAGAGACTGGCAGAAGACGCCCCCTGGAGGAGAGAGGCGGAACACTCTCAGTGCCACTGGGAGGCGGACTTGCTGGGGGGGGGCTCTGAAGTGGGGAGGAAAGAAAGAGGGGGAGGGGAGGAACTTCCTGCTGGACTCCTCCATCCTCCCCAGGTGGAAAAAGGCAGGCAGAAGCTCAACTGGTCGAGCAGATCTACTCTCTGTAGAGAACTTTGGATCTAAAGGGGGAGGAATTAGGGTGTGTGTGAAACTTTCTGGGGTGGATGGAAAGTAATATCCATACCCCCCAGTCTCTCTCTTCCTTTGGGGGGGTGGGGAATATGGGGAAGGGGGAACAATGAGTGACACTCCGGAGGGGTCCCAGCCATTCAACCGCCCATCTTCCCTGGGTCTCCCCAACTTATCTTTTACCCCCCAATCTTCAGCCCAACTCCCTGCCTTGGTATGATTTTTGAGATTCAGACTTGTTCCCTTTCCCCCTCCCCAAAAGGCCCCTGCAGCCCCCCAAGAGCATCTCAAAGGGAGGGTCTCCAGCCCCCCTCACGGTAGGGATTGTTTGGGGGAGCCATAGGGGGGCAACTCAGAGCCCCCCCAATTCTCCTCTCTCACTTCCCCCTCCCTCCAGGTCCCGATAGAGCAACGGGGGATTATGGGGTGGGGGTTTCTCGGCCTCCTCCCCAAATTCAGAGCCTCCCCCGGAAGGGACCGAAGCTCAACTCCGGCCTGACTTTGAAAGCCTCACATTTGAGATTTGGGAAGAAAAGTTGAAGTCTTTGAAGAAGGAAAAAAACTTTGGCCAAAATGCAGCTTTTTCCTTGTGTGGATTCTGGTCTGAAAATGCCTCAGTTTCCCTCTTTCGCTTTCGCTTTCCCTCCCCTTCCTCTTTCCACGCAGCCGCTCCGACTCCGACCCGGCCATTTTGGAGGGGGGGGGCAGAGAGGGGCCCGGCTGCGACTCCCCACCTCGGCTACAATCGGGAAAGAGGGGGTCCCTCTCCGCCCTCCTGGGGGGGAAGTGGGGAGGGAAGGGGGAGGAGACCACGCAGAGATCGAGGCTGTCGCCGGCTCCCGTCACTCTTACCCTCTGAAGAGCTAGCAGCTTTCTTTCCCCTCTCCCCCCCCACGAGTCTCGGCGGTGCTTCCCAGCCCCCTCCTCCCCCAGCCCCTCTCCTCCCCCCTCTGAGCCCCCTCCTTACCGGGGGTCTCCTTCCCCCCTTCGCTTCCGGGGATCCGGGCCAGCGCTCCAACTACCAGCAGCAGCAGCACCAGGGGGAGCCCCGCGGAGCCCATGGACGCCGCCCCACAAGCGCCCCAGAGAGACCAGAGACGGAGACACGGAGGCTCCCAGCCCCAGAGGCGGAATCAGGGGGTTTGGATTGGGGGGAGGGAAGAGGGGGCGTTTCCCTCGAACTTCGGACCTGGGCGGGCCCAGAAGAAGCAGGAGGACCAATCGGAATTCTCCCTTCCGCAGCGTCATCGGTCTCTGGGCAGAGTCTCCCTTGACTTCACCCGATGGAGGAGTTGGGCGCAGAGGGAGAAGCGGAGAAGGGGGGGGGATTTTATGGGGGGGGAATCAGCCCTGGGACCCCCTCCCAAGAATCGACCCTCTTGAGGTTGGCTCCGTTCCTCTGGGTGGGAGTGGAGGGGATATTTTGCCCGAAGAAGAAGAAGAAAAAATCCATATCCATGGACGGGATGTATAAGAGGATCCGCGCAGGTTTTCTCCCTTGTGAAAGATCTCAGTGCTATTTTAAGAAGGATGGGCGGATGGATGGATGGACAGCATAGTAAACCAAAGAATAAATTTATAATTTATAAAATAACCCGGACAGTTAATAGAAATTCTGTGGACTTCAGTAATTCTATATACCCTCAAGTATAAGGATTACAGCCTTATCCATTAATGTCCGAAAACTTCCCCCCCAAACTATCCCAAAAACCACACATTCTTTTTTTTTTTTATGTTTCACTACACCCATGGAAGCCATTTTTTCTAGGACATTCGGGTTGTGGTCAGTTCCGCAAAGGCGGGTCAGGCCGATCCTCAATTCCCGATTCTGTTCAAAAGAGCTTTGGGGGTCCAGAGGGGGCCTGAATCCTTCCCAGGGATGGGGGGTCTGAAGGGGTCACACTCCCCCCTGGCCCAGCACCAGCCTCGGCAGGCCGGAGCCGGGTCCCCCCCCCTGCAGCTGAAGGAGGCTGCACCACAGTTGTGTACATCCAGCCAGTCGCCCAAAGTGGGTCCCAGATCCAGGCAGCATCTGGGGGGGGGGCTCCATGGCTCGCCTGATCAAAGCAGAACTCCTGGACTCTTTTCATGTTTCCCCAGGAAGATTTTGATTTTCTCTGAGTTCCTCCTGCCCCCCCCCCCAGCCCTCAATATCCCCCCCCACAAACACACAAACACACAGAGGAACTTTGTTTGTTTCTGCAACCCCCAACAGCTGGAGAAGTGCTGGAGTTTCGCTTCCCCCCCCCCGCCCCCGGCCTGAAGCGCTGGGCTCCCCCGAAGCGGAACCGAGGAACTGGCCCTGATCCAGCAGGAAACAAGCCCGGATTCTTCCCCGGGGCAGCTTCGGGACTCTCCCGCTTCTCCCCCGTGGCTGAGTCTCCCCCTCGGTCCTCTGCCCCCCCTTGAAGCGGCTGAGGGGCCCCTCCCGACCCCCGAGGAGACCCCGGACAGCCCAGGGAAGAAACCCAGGGAGGGCTGGAGAAACGTCCCCAAAGGACCCAAAGGCTCCGATTCTCGATTCTCCTCCTTCACACGTTACGGGGAGACTCGGCTCACGGGGGGGGGGGGGGAGAGATTGAAGGGCTCTGATGCCGGGAAAGGTGGAAGGAAAGAGAGGCAAAGGAGGAGAAGCAGGGAGGGGGAGGGGCTCAGCTGCAGTGGGGGGAGGGGGATGCTGACGGAGGACCTGGAGGAGTGGGGGGGAGGGGTCTCCCCAGAGAAAGTCTCTCCATGGGGGGGGGGGTTAAACGTTGACACCAACTTGACAGCAGGTAACCATCATTAGCCTCTCTGCTTCAAGGAGATCTCTGGTCTTTTCCCCACCAGTGAAAGTGCTGGGGATGGTGAGGACTAAACAAGGGTTCATTTCATGGCTGTTCAAAGTTATGACACTGAAAAAACTGACTCTTCTTTTTAAACTTTTTAATTGTTTTAATGTTTTTTTTAATAATGTCATGTATATACCTGTGTTTAGCTTTGTGTATCCAAGCCATCACTTGTTGTGAGATGGGTGGTTGTATAAATTTGGTAGCTAGATGATATAGAGGGGGCGGTAGAGAGATAGACAGAGATGATAGATAGATGATAGAGAAGAAAGAAGAGATAGATAGATGATAGATAGATGATAGATAGATAGATAGATAGATAGATAGATAGATAGATAGATAGATAGATAGGTAGATGATAGAGAGAGAGATAGGTAGGTAGATGATAGAGAGAGATAGAGAGATATGGATAGATGAGAAAGAGATGAGACAGAGAAAGAGATATAAATAGATATATAGACAGACAGACAGATAGACAAGATAGAGAGGGAGAGATGTAGATAGACACAAAGAGATGAGAGAGATGAGAGGGAGAGAGTGGGAGGGAGGGAGGGAGGGAGGGAGGGAGGGAGAGAGAGAGAGAGAGAGAGAGAGAGAGAGAGAGAGAGAGAGAGAGAGAGAGATATTCTGGGATTTCCAGACCGCTTCATCCCAGGACTAGCCTGGACTGGCCTTGCAGAGTTTCTGAGATCAGCCCTGCTGAGTGAGGGATTTTCTTCACCTGCTGATGGGGAGTCTTTCCTCTCCAGATCATCCGAAAAGCCCTTGTGGAAGAGAGAAAATAGCGTATCTGAGACAAGACTCAAAAGAAGGAGCTGCTTCTTCTTTACCCTTCATATAAAGTGTTTGATTTCATCTTCCAAAATACATTCTCCTTCTGGCACACCAATCAAAATGGGTGAAATAATCAAATTAGTTAATTCCCATTTTAAAAAGCACCCTTTCAAACCGGCGCAAAGAGTGGCAAGAACACTGGATTAAAAAAAAACCATGTAAGGCAGAGTTAGGAGGGTCTTATGGGGAACAGAAGGAGACCATTTTTCCTAGGCAGCAAAAGGAGGGAAAGAAAGGGAGCAAATGGATCAGTCTCAAAGGAAGGATTTGGCCCAAAGGCTTTGAATTAAAGTGGTTGGGAATCTCCTGGCCTTTCTCCACATTTGATTTCAGTGCCCAGGGGAGACGCCCCAGATGGGAAGCATCCAGAATCTGCTCTGCAAAAATGTAACAGAATAATAGAGCTGGAAGGGACCTTGGAGGTCCTCTAGTCCAGCCCCCTGCCCGTGCAGGAGAGAGACCCTATAGCACTTCAGACAAATGGCTGTCCAGTCTCTTCTTAAAAGCCTCCAGTGATGAAGCCATCACAACTTCTGGAGGCAAGCAGTTCCACTGATTAATTGTTCTCACTGTTAGGAAATTACTCCTTAAATCAGTGGTTCTCCACCTGTGGGTCGGGACCCCATTTGGGGTCGAACGGCCATTTCACGGGGGTCGCCAAACAACGCAGTCTGCCATTTTTTCCCCCTTTTCCTTAGCTGTGCTACTCCCTTTTATTCTATTGGCTTTTTAGAAAGCCATTCTATTGGCTTTCAAAAGCCAATAGAAGAGACTCTCTTGAATAGAGTCTAATTCTATTGGCTTTCAAAAGCCAATAGGAATTGTCCAGGCTGTCTCTGCCCTGCTGAGCCCGCCAAAAGTCCCAGTCTGCAAACGGGGCTGCACCAGTTGAGTCATCCTTGACTTACGACCAGTTGAGTCGTCCTCGACTTACGACTGGTTGGGAGTCGCGGCATTAAAAAGGTTGAGAACCACTGCCTTAAATCCAGATCTTCCATCCACTGCTTCTCGTCCTGCCTTCAGGGGCTTTGGAGAATAGCTTGACTCGCTCTTCTTTGGGGCAGCCCCTCAAATATTGGAAGACTGCTAATCTGTCCCCCCTCGTCCTTTTCTTCGTTAAACTAGACTTACCCAATTCCAGCAACCGTTCTTCGTATGTTTTAGCCTCCAGTCCCCTGATCATCTTTGTTGCTCTTCTCTGCTCTCTTTCCAGAGTCTCAACATCTTTTTTACATCATGGTGACCAAAACTGGATGCAGTATTCCAAGTGTGGCCTTACCAAGGCATTGAAGAGTGGTATTAATACTTCACGTGATCTCGATTCTGTCCCTCTGTTGAGGCAGCCTAGGACTCTTAGTGAGATTGGAGTCCAGTGGGGCTGACCCCCTAGTTCCCTTCTCTACTTTATGGGGGACAAAGTTGTCTGCTAGGTTCATCAGGAGCCTGCTGGATCTCCCACTAGGCGCAAAAAACTGTCTCCCAGTTGATGTCAGGGTGGTCAAAGTCCCCCATTGTTATTTTGCTCTGCTTTCTCCATGCCTTAGCTGACTGATTAAGAAAAATTTCATCTATTTCCTCTGTTGGGTTGGGGGGCTTTATAGTACACACCAATGGTGATGTCGTTCTGTTTTCCCTTTTTTTTAACCCAAATGCTTTCAAGGAGATTTTTGTCTTTGTTCTGTAGCATTTCTGTAGTTATTTCTTATATATAGTGCAACTCCACCTTTTATTAAGTCTGTTTCTTTTCAACACTTTAAATGTTAAGATACTAAATTTAGTAGATGGAACAGTAAAGTGGACAATGGGCCGGGAGACAGAGTTGTAGTTGATTGGATGGAGAGTGCTGGCTCCTGTATGAGGTTATCTATGCAATGATTGGTTGCTGTGGGTGTAAAGGGGGCATTTCCCCCCTTTTCCCCGCCCTTTTCTTCTGTGTGCTCCGACTGCTGATTGATTTATCTCATGATGTTTCTGTGTTCCTGATTATCTTTTCTGTTGTGAATATAGATACTAAATAGATTTATATAACACTACAGGTTTGTGTCATTTGGACAGCTGCTATGCAATATAAATATTATACTTATGGATGTAAAACTACAAGTTTGTGTCACTTCATTTGAACAGCTGCTGCGCAATTCCTCAACATTAAATCTCTTAAATTGTGCCTTCCAGTCATGGGTTTCATCCCACTGAGTTTCGGTGATTGCAACGTCATACCTGCCTTTGGGTTTCAAGTTCTCCCTGGTTTATTCCTCATACTTTGAACATTGGTGTAGAAGCATCTGAGTCCCTTTTGATTGCCCTGTGTTTGGTTTCCACATCCCCTCTTTTTGTGTCCGAGTTCTCCTTTTTCCTTTCCATTTGGTTGATTGCCCAGAGATTTGTGCTTGGAATTAGCTTCTAAAAAATCCGTCTCCCTCCTCCTTTGGTTTCAGTTTAAGACCCGTCAGCTAAGACAAGCCAGTTGGTTTCTGAAGATGACATT